GGGGGTTATAGGCCGATGTCTACGCGTTCGGCCTCGGACGACCCAAACAGGAACCGCACCAACGATATTGAAATTGCACATCCTAGCTGTACGTTTAAGTAAACGTATGCTCGGATCGCGCATTCGCGAACATAAGCTATCTGTGCGACGGAACGATAAATTATCACAAGTGGCTGCCCATTATTACGAACTGAACCGTGAGTTCAACTTAACGCTTGCAATGAACTAGCCGACAGTTGATTTAAGCCTGGTCCACGGATGGGAAATCGGTTAATCGATGTATCGATTTGTAGCCGGCGTAATTATCGTCTTTTTGCTACTGGTTCTCCCTCTCTCGCTAGCGATTAAGACCTGTACGAGTGTGAAGGCTCAGAAGAAGAAACAAACACCCTAACCTGTGCATGTATCCCCTACCGTTACCTCTGATGAAGGGTTCTTGAGAGAATCCGAAACGCCAGGCAAATACACTTTTGTTCCACTTTTGTTCGTATTTTCTACCTCTGAATAAACAGGCTGTTCCTGTGCTCGATCAGCCTTCTTCTTTGCTCATGGAGTAAATCAGTCTATCCAAGGGCTTATCCTATTTTGGTTTGCTCCTAAAGATCCTTGAAATTACTGATTTAATGCGAGTTAGGAATTAATTTCTGAGGAAATACGAAAGCTACAGCAACTAGGTTTGGGAGTATTTCATATTATTTAAGACGCAGGTGCGGGTGGTGGACTGTGTTTAATGCAGAAGAAGACAAATCGATCGCTGGGGCAATATTCTTATTCGCCTGACGTTTCGAGAGCCGTCGCGGATTCGTCATCAGAGACATAGTTGAAGTAGTAGCAGGTAGGGTAACGTATGCACAAGAGTTTGCAGTATTTGTAGAATGCAGTCATTACTGCAAGCATACAGCGACCATTAACAGTAATTGCCTTCTTGAGTGTTGGTGGTCTGACCTACTGAACTTTCATCACGCGTGGTGGGCACGGGCGTGATGATTGTTCGGTCATCTGGCCCTCCGGTACTGGCGTAGAGTGACGCGGTTGCCCGTCCGTTCCCAAAGTGGCGACTTGCTTTGGCCAACTTGAGTCTCAGCACCGAATATGGATTGGGCGAATCGTTGCACTTGTTTACGGATTAAATAAATTATCGGCTCACCAGACCTTCACCTCTTACGAGAATGTCAGCCTCAGCAAATTTGAATGTGTAGCCGGGTCTCGTCGAATGAGCCGCAACTTGAGAATTGGCATCATAACATACCTGTTCAGCGCACAAATTACGTGCATTTCACACAACTGAGCATGGAATGGCTCAGTACCCAACTGAGCGAGGTTATCCTTCTTGTCATTGCAGTCGGACTCTACTATAGTTGTTAGGGTTAACTATCTTAGCCTTGACTCCTATACCTGGTGACCCAAGTCGTGGAATGAACTCCTAATTTCTGATGTGGTTGATTTCAACGAAGTGATACGGAGATCTTCATCCGTTAAGAGCCCATCGACGCTAGGCTCTGGTTCCTTTCCCATCCCACGGAGCAGTTTCCCGCTATGAGTGCCAATACCCAGACCTTTGTTCCAAACTCGGATTCTACTTCTACTGCCAACGGTATCCCTTCCTCTTCTCAGCGAACGCTAACACGGCATACTGATTTGCCTTCGAAGTTCAACGCAGCCAACCAGACTCCCTCCCACGTAGTCGAGATGACCAATCTCCTACAAAATGCTGATGCACGCGTAGTCAAGAACATTCCTCCTACCAGCACGCGGACCCAGTGGCCCACGCGGACGCGAGATGATCTTTCCTCCCC